AGGACGATGTGTGAGGTGAAGGTGCGGTCACAGTGAGGGCAGGTGTAGTCCTGATCCTCATCTCTGGAATCGGGAGGGGTGGGGGTGGTTGCTGTTGTTGTGTCGTGGTTGGCGATGTGTGAGACGGCAGTCTGAACGGGCACCGCTGGGGAAGTGGAGGAGAAGGGGGAGGATGGAAGTGGTGGTGCAGGAGGAGTGTCAGAGTTAGTTGGCGGCAGAGAGGACGAGGAAGAGGCGGGCGGGGGACGGAGGCTGGGGCAGTTCGAGAGGTGCAGTTGTTTCGAAGATGTCCAACAAGTCCGATTCGTGCCCGGAATGTCCGGTGGCATCGAGGACACGTAGGGAGAGGTTGTGCGGCGGCGTTACGTATTGGGCGAAGTTATGATTTGCGGGCTTCGCGTTTCGCTTCGGCGGCGGCGATTCGGTTGGCTTCATAGATAGCAGCGCCCGTCTTCACTGTTCTCCTCCATGTTGGACGATCGTGAGCGAGCTCTTCCCAGTTGGTCGGGTTGATTTGCAGGCGCTTCAGGGAGGACTTCAGGGTATCCTTGTAACGGCGAATCTGGCCTCCTTGACGGCGAGAACCCGTCGCGACGAATCCGTAGAAGAGTCGTTTGGGTAGTCGCTCGTCGTCCATGCGCACCAGGTGGCCGCTCCAGCGCAGCTGCATTTGTTTCAGTATGACGTAGATGCTGGGGATTCCCGTTCGTTCCAGTACTTCCGTGTCGGGGATTCGATCCTGCCAGTTCAGCCTCAGGATGCAACGGAGACAACTGAGGTGGAAGTGGTTCTGTCGACGTGCCTGTCTCGTGTACACCGTCCATGTCTCTGCTCCGTACAGTAACGTCGGCAGGATGACGGCCTTGTACATCTTCAGCTTCGTGCTCAGTTGGAGACCATGACGATTCCAAACCGTGCTACGGAGACGACCGAAGGCTTGACTGGCGTTCGAGATCCTGTTGGCGACTTCGTCGTCGATCTTGGTGTTCCGGGAGAGGGTACTGCCCAGGTACGGGAAGTTCTCCACCACTTGCAGTTGGGTTCCGTTCACGCTGATTTGCGGCGGCGCGTTGGTGGCTGTGGCTGAGTTGGGCGGCGGTTGGTGCATCACCACCGTCTTCTGCGTGTTAATGACCAGCCCAAAGTTCTCGCAGGTGGCGGAGAATAGGTCCATGCTCCGTTGCATCTCCTCTTCCAAGGCGGTGTTCAGGGCGCAGTCGTCAGCGAAGAGGAGTTCGTGCACGGTGGCTGTGGATACACGCGATTGGAAGTTCATGCGCCGGTGATTCAGCAGATGACCGTCCGTTCTGTAGGCGATGCGGATTCAAGGGTGTTCGTTGCGGTAGGCGTCCATCAGCATAGCAGAGAACATAAGACTGAAGAGGGTAGGCGCCAGCACACAGCCCTGCTTCACGCCGTCGGTCACTGCGAATGCCTCTGAGACAGCTCCGTTGTCCGTGACTCGCGCCATTATACCGTCGTGCAGCTGACGCACCATCTGAGTGAATCGCTCCGGACAGCCGAATTTCTGCATGATCTTCAACAGTCCTTCACGATTCACCGTGTCGAAGGCTTTCGTCAGGTCCACGAAGGTAGAGTACAGGTGGGTCCGCATCTCCTGGCACCTCTCCTGAAGTTGGCGGGCTGCGAAGATCATATCCGTGGTCCCACGATGACGACGGAAGCCGCATTGGCTTTCCGGCAGCAGGCCGTGTTCCAGATGGTTGTTGAGGCGGTTTAGCAGGATGCGAGCGTAGATCTTCCCGCCGATGTTCAGTAGGGAGATGCCGCGGTGATTGTCACAGACTTGGCGATTCCCTTTGCGCTTGTAAAGGTGCACGATAGTTGCGTCCTTGAAATCTTGCGGGAATTCACCTTGAGGCCACATCTCCTGGAAGAGCGCAGTCAGCTGATCCATCAGTAGGGGACCCCGTGTTTGTAGACCTCAGCAGGGATTGCGTCCGATCAAGGTGCTTTCCCGCTGGAGAGCTGCTGCACGGCCCTGATCGTTTCCTGGAGAGATGGCGGGAGGTCGAGGTCCACGTTTGTCTCTACTTGCGGCAAGCGGGCGATGGAGGCGTCGGAGATGACGGAAGGGCGGTTGAGGACGCCTCGAAAGTGCTCGGCCCATCGCTGCAGGATTTGCGTCTTCTCGGTCAGGAGAGTGCTGCCGTCGGCGCTGAGGAGAGGAGCAGTGCCCTTCGTCGGCGGACCGTAGACAGCTTTGATCGCGGAGAAGAAGTTCTTCCATTCGTTGCGGTCCGCGTACCCTTGGATCTCCTCAGCTTTGCGAGCAGTCCAGGCGTCCTGCATCTCGCGCAGTGGTTGCTGAAGCTGTCGGCGACTGCGGTAGAAGGCAGCTTTGTTGTCCTTAGTGGGGTGATCTGCGTAGGCTTTGTGTAGGCGATTCTTCTCGGCAAGCAAATTGCTGATGGCAGCGTCGTTGTCGTCGAACCAGTCCTGGTGTTGGCGGGGAGCGCGACCGAGGACGGCGACCACCGTCGACTGGACTATGTCCCGCAGTAGACACCAGCGGTTCTCCACGGAGGCGTTCTCGGCAGCGGCGGCGGCAGCGTCGTCGGCGGCGGCAGCGATAGGAAGGTTGTCTAGCCGTTGAGCTAGCTCATTGCTGAAATGGAGACGGTGAGCAGGCAAAGACAACAAAGCAACATTCAGCTTACCTGGGGGTCGCTTACCTTGTGGTCTTCTGCGAGGCTGTAGGCGAATACGCAACTTCGAGATGACGAGGCGGTGGTCGGTCCACCCGTCAAGCACCCGCGATCGCCTCCGTCACCAGCACGTCCCGCTGATCTCGCCTCCGGACGAGGACATAGTCCAGCAGGTGCCCCTGACGCGGCCGAGGATGCCTCCAGGTGGCCTTTTCTCGCTCCGGCAGACAGAAGAACGTGTTCGTCAGGATGAGGCGGTGTTCTGTGCAGGTGCGGAGGAGCAGCACGCCGTTGTCGTTGGGGCCGCGGAGACCGTGAGGACCCAGCACTCCACTCCAGGCTGTATGGTCTATGCCGACGCGGGCGTTGAAGTCGCCAAGGACAATCAAATTGTCCGCCTTCGACATAGTCGCCAAGAGGGAGTGCAGGCCCTCGTAGAACATGTCTCTTGCGGCGGCGTCGGGGCTGCTCATCGGCGGAGCGTATGCGCTGATGATTGTGGTGAATTTGCCCCCACCCCGCAGAGGCAGACGGAGGCTCATCAGGCGATCGTTGATACCCTGCGGCAAACAGGGTAGTCGTCCCACGATGTCGTTCCGGATGGCGAAGGCGACACCCGCGTCTCGTCGCTCTGCCTTGGGTCGACCACTCCAGAAGAAGGTGTAGCCGGCACCCACCTCCTCCAGTTGGCCTTGTTCGGAGAATCGGGTCTCGCTGAGTGCGGCGATGTCCACCTTGTAGCGCGCCAGTTCTCGTGCCACTAGCGCCGTCCTCCGTTCCGGTCGGTTGCTCCTTGGATTGTCTAAAAGGGAACGAACGTTCCAGGCTGCCAGAGTGAGCGGGCTCACCCTGTCAGTCTGGGGAAAACGAGTGGGGCGACGGGAAGGAGGTGGAGAAGAAGATGACGAAGGAGGAGAATAGGCAGAAGAATAGACGGAGATAGAGGTAGAAGAGTTAGGATGAGGCGAAGGAGTATGGTTGTTGTTGTTATTGGTATTGTTGTTGTTTCGGTTTTGAGTGTTTCGACCATGTTTAGACGTCTGCGGCCCTGGCTAGCCTGGAGACGGCGTGGTGCCCAGCAGTGTTTAGGCCACCTTTTCTAGGCCCTCCCCCGTAATGGGGACAGGCAGTGCCCCCCGAATCGGGCTGCCTGTGTGCCTGTTTGGCGCGACCGAATCCCACTATAGGACCACGACTTTATGTTTGTAGTGGAGAACGGCCGCATATGCCGAGGTCTGTGGTCTCCGTCGGCGTAGGTGGGCGCGTCTCAGCGAAGGCGATGCGGGGACCCATCCCGGCAGCAGCTGTCCAACGGCGTACCAGGCAGAGCCTCGTTTCGACGACGCCGGCGCAACGTTTCATCCGACCAAACGTCCAGCGGAGTCCGCAGTACACTGTGCACGCGGCACAAGCGCACAGCGCCCTCACCTGGTTTAGCCCGCCGGTCGAGGCGGTTGCCCGGGGTGTGGCCGCTGAGCATAGCCCAGCTACGTGGAGCCACAGGTGAGAGTTAAGTGCCAGCAAGTGAACGCTAGGCGTAGTCTCACCTGCAAGCATGTGAGCGACCACTACGACCATCACGTGAACCCACCGCTGACACCCTATACACCCCGTTTTTGCCAATAATGGTATGATAAAGAATAGAATATAAGTTCCACAGCGTCGTAATCGTTCTGACTTTAGAAGAAATATTGATCACTTGCAACACGAAATGACCAATGCATTGGCGGACGCCTCTAACGCAAGCACGTCCATCCAACGCAGCATACCTTGCCTCCATGGTGTTAGGCGATTACAACGTTGTCTGCGGGCATTCTCGTCAATGCCTTTAAAAGACAATCCGTTGAAAGTAAGTAGCTCGCGTTATGCCAGACTGCTTGATGCGAGCAGGAAGTCTGCAATTGCGTCCACATTTCGCACCTGAAAGTGGAATTCGACATTACTGTCAGATCAAATGCCTATTTCGATGAGCGGATAAAATTTCGCCTGTAACGCAATAAAGAAACGCAGGCAGCATAAGTATAATTGACAACGTCTCTACTGAAACTCCACAGAGGCGACAATTTATCGCTACACTTTCACAGTCACAATGCGAGAGAGAGTAGCATGAGAGTTAGAATTGAAACCGAATGCTGGGTTGGATTTTGCTAGTTGCGAAATTTGTTAATTGTCTAAAAAACTAAAACACGTGTTTCCTGTAAATATTTGTTGCAGAATAAGGGGCGTAATTACGTATGACAACATCGTCCACAGGCAACCTATGTTGAAGCTCTCAAGGATCCTGACGTTACTGACATCCATGAAATTACCTAGATTGCGGCTACTGTGTGTGATAAAAAGCTAAGGCATATATTTCCCATCGTCATTTGTTTCATAAAGAAAGGCGCGTGTACTTATGATGATAATTAACACAGTAACAAAGGCGTTGGTTTAAACATTAACGTCGCCTTCTTTCACAAGTAATTTGTTTTTTACGTACTGCGTTTAAATTTTTCGCTTTGGTACAGGCAGAGTGAGAATGACTAGATAGGACATTAAATTATGATAACCTACAAATCCTAATTTAATTTACATTCAATAACTCTTCTAAGCCTTTATACAGATCGTGCGTTTTAATCGTTGTTGAAAGCGGCGTATACATAGATGTTTGCAGACTCAATTTAGCAAAAAAATTCCGGTAATTGTACATGCTGTGTAGAGCAGACGAATTATCCTTAGTCAAAATGTACTATTGCAATCCGATCTAAAGAGATGCGATTTAAGCAATTGGAATATAATTAAACGATAACTTATCATTTGTTCACGCAGCGTTTGGCAAGCCATGATCTCGGCGGTATCAAAGCCGTGCCGTATCTGCGTTCGAAACACCAAATTCTGGTTGGATTTATTTACCAATATGTCGGCAAACCACAAGCTTCATCCGACAAGTTAACACAAAGTTCGCAACCGCAGATGTAAGCGTTTTGATAGAAGTTCGTTTAAATGCAATTAAGGCTTAAGAGTAGTATGACGAGTAATGCAAATCACATTGCTCAAAGTTGCCGCGTGGTATGCCGCTTAGTCGTATTCTTAAACACAAAACATGCCAGTTAACAACTAATGCTTTATATATTGCAACATATATCAGCTATGCCTTAACATAAGCCAAACTATTAAGTGACTACTGAGGAACAATTTTATGTTAATAAGTTGTGTAAATTACAGTCTTAAGCATGACATGTTACTGCCTGGCCTGTTGCAAGGATATTTTTAAACATGTTTTACAATTATTAACCTGTAATATTACAACTGTATTCATAGCTCAAACGTAAAAAGGGGAGATTTGTATCTTTCACTGTAATTGGAATTCTTTATAGTTTAGGTTTTGATATTCCATGGTTCGTCCAGTAAACTGAAGGATTCGATTAGATTACTCAAAGTATGTGGTCGTATAGATCTACGCATTTCGTTTTCACTTTTTTCAATATAACGCTCATCATACAAATCCAGTTTCCTATTATAGACCTCAATAGAAGCAGACATAATGTCAGCCAAAGGCGTATGTTCCAAGCGTCTAGTACTCTTTTAGATAAGACGAAATTTCATGTGCCCATCCTAGTCACTGTAACACGTTGTTTGTATGGATGACCTCGTAGGTTTGTGTTGGTTGCTAACTCGAAGAAGTCCCCTGGAGAGAGGCTGTAGTCCTGACCGCGCATGATACGGAAGGCTTGTATCAGGTCACCCCGAAACTGCCTCTAACTCAAGGAAAAGGGAGTAAGGTTAGCTAACCGCGTTGCATATGGTTGTAAACCTTTGAAAAACGCCTTTGAAAACTTTTAAGGATGCTGAAGTCCTTCACGTTCAAGGGTCTCCGGGCTTGAATAGAAAATACAAGTTGCGGCTCGTAGATCTTTCTTTTACACTGAGCCTCTGATGCCTTATTTCGGATCATAAACACAAAATGTTGCAATTATGAGCCGATTTACTGTCATTTAATCAATGCGTGTGGTAATTTTTTATAAAGCAAAACATGTGGAAACGTCCGATTAGGCCTAACATAATCCAAATCTCCCTTATATCTAATGCAGGAAAAGACTGTCTGCCTCTTGTATAAATTCGCAGAAATGATGTCCGCTGTTTGACAATATACGATATTATATTTCAGTCACGATATCTCATGAGCTGAAAAGCCTTATATAAATATTGCACAGAAAAAATGTACCAAGGTGTAGGCAAAAACATAATTGCATAGATTTCAACATTGGTTCCCCAGGACGTCTTCAGACGTGAAGAATTGGCAACTGTAGCATATTTAAATCTCCATTCTCCCTGCTTGTCAGGCATTAAATTTAGTTAAAAGAAGGCCCTGCTTGTGTTTTGACCGCCTTTTACATTTGCGGTAATTACGAGAAAAATGCGGGAATTAAAAACATCGGAGAAACACATGTCTAGGGTTTGAGCTACCGGCTAGGCAGTAAAGATGAGATATCAGTCACATAAAAAGTAAACAGTGTTAATGATTCGTATTACTATAAGGGACACTACGTGCTTCTTAAACAGATCTGATAATTGCCTTGCGCAAAAATCTTCCTTGAAATTAGTGAAAACTTTAATTGATAAAGCTTATATTTGCATTATGCCTGTCTATTGGAGGATAATCGGCCATGAGGAAGCTGAGTAAGTGTGCTGCTCATTGCTTGCTAGATTTTTCTACTGAAGCCAATTAATATGAACATACATTTTTCTGGGAAGAGTCAAGCAGTTCATTGTACACATGAAAGACAGTATTACGGGGTTATCCGCCAGTGAATCCGATGTGGTCACTGAACTGCACCTTATTTTACCTCTTGTCTCTTGAGCAGCAACTTTTGTTTGCGCAATGATAAACATTTGGTTCTGCCACAGGCTTTTGCTGTCTGTTCGCGAGAATGCCAGACATGGCTAGCCGTTCATTTACTTTCTGTAATCCTGAATTTAGCCTGCGACAAGGCATCACAAATGCAGCCCGGAGTAACCTTATGCGCAGAAAAGGGTTTATCCGCCAGCCAGCGACTGCCTTAAAAGGTAACAATGCCTCGTTTGCGTTGGTCGATACCCCTGCCATATAAGGCAATGCTCACACCTCCCAGAGCATTCGACTGGCAAATGTTTACTCCGGCATCTCTGCTCATAATATACTTGCATCTACTTGCAGCATGCAATTACAAAGCTGACGTCTGTGGGTTTTCTTATGAGCAAATTGCATGAAAAATTTGTCCTGGCATTAACGTTACCACCTAGATATTCTGTACACATTTGTGAATGGCACTTCAAATTTACTGATCTATTTAAAAGTGGTAGGAAAAAATTACGTAAAGTATATTTTCAACTTTTATTCTTAAATCCTTAATAATGAACTTTAAGGTAAATATTTCATGTACTATCGAGGATGTCAGTGTGTTTGTTTTATTATTTTGCAGGCTACGCGTTTCATATCGATCTGTCCCTAGGTATCGTTTGCGAAGTTAAGGTACTGTTTACTAATAAGGGTACGAAATACGGGCATTTCTTTGTCTTTCTTAGTTTTTTAAAAAAAGGTTTTGGGCGGAAGGCCTAGGCACAACGCTGAAAGATAATTGTTATACTACTTGTTTTACTAACGTCCACATTGCCTTGCATTTTAGTATAAGATTAGTGACATGCTACGAATAAAAATCGCACATATGTTGACCTTTCAGCAGCATCGTCATGTCCGCGTGTCGGTGATAATTTGCGCCTTGCCTACATTTTGCTGGATCGACTTGGCCGAAATACTGTCATGAAAGCCCAGAAAATGTACGGCGGAAACAGTACCACAAAATTAATAATTCACGTTTTGTCAGAACCAATTATACATTCTTGCTCCCTTCTGTACCATTCAGTTAAAGCACATGCCTTCAAAATGCAATGTAATGTAACATTGCCTCTAATACGAATTCGTCTGCTTCGCACGGTAAACGCAGTTTCTTCATATTGTTTGTCATCTTATATCTGCAAATATTTATTTAGACCTGGTCTGTAAAAACAAAGTGAAAAATGACAGTTTATATCTAAAAGTTAAAAGTGTTGCACTGTATAAACTAATTAATTATGTATGTGTGTTTATTAGGTAAAAAATCAAACTCACTCAAATTTTAAAATAATGTTAACCAAAAAAGTATTGTCCGCAATCAGATTAACACAGATCTCCTATAAAGGACTTTATCAGCATTTTAAATCCACAAACTAATATAATTATGTTTGAATGCTCACAAATAAATTGCATCTATTGATTTGAAACATATATTGACAGAAAATAATTGCTTTCGCAGTTTACAAAGCTTCTTACTGGTAATTAAAGAGATTCGGCACAAATCTTTGTACAGAGGTAACTAAGTTTTCGGTTAAAATTCCGACATAAGCAAGCCAGCGTCTCTTTAAATTTTTATAACCGATTAGGCAATGAGGCACACGAAATCGCGAAGTTTTTATTAAAATTGT